GAGTTTGTCTGCTCCGAGCTCACCTCGGTCCAGGAGTCGCTCTATGACACTGCAGGGCGGGTACGGACCGGTCCTTCTTAATCAGTGCCACTCACTCACAACATCTTCACCCCAACTCATTGACATTGTTTGCTGTCGTCCTCCAGCTGCTCAGCACAGTGGACGCCAGCACCGGGGACGTGTGCGGCCTCCAGGACAAGCTGGACAGGAAGAAGAAGGTGACGCTTTTCAAAACGGAACACAGTCGCCGAGTGAAAACGAGGCGTTTCCATCTTAAACAACTTCTCTTTGCTGTCGGACTGAAAACGTCTTTCTTCAGCAACAACTTCCAGGGTCGAATAAAAATGAATGTGCTGAAGCTCTGACCTTCAAATTAAGTGACATTTAAGTGAATGAAGGTCAAACAAAGGGTTGCTCTCGATAACCTTATTTCTACAATTCCTTTAATGTAGAAACACACCGCAAGTTCCTTTAAATAGGATTTGTAAGATGTTTTGAGTGTAAAGAGGACACGAATCTGACTAACGCACACTTGATGGCCGTTCCAGGTGGAGCAGCACAACAGTGAGGTCCAGCAGAGCTTCTCTCAGCGCATGGAGGGAGCGCTGGGCCTCGTGCAGCGCTGCGTGCAGCAGCACGGCGCCAAACACCACGACATGCTGAGCAGCTACTCGCACGCCATCGGTGAGACCGGAGAGCTGCAGGGGAGCGATGCAGCAGGGACCCACAGGGGCGGCGCTAGAGACACAAAGGGGACGTTCTCTAATTCTGTGCCTCTCCGCTTCCCCCGTGCAGACGGCGTGCTGGTGATGAACGAGGCGGCGCTGAAGGGAGCGCTGACCACCGTGGAGTCCTTCGTGGGGGGGGTCGGGCAGCTGGTGGCCGAGGGCGTGACTCGCTGTCGGGACAGAGTGCAGCAGCAGGAGGCGCTGTGTGTGCAGGACAAGGAGGGCCTGCTGCAGCTGCTGGTGAGGACAAGGACAACCTTAAACATGGCCGACACAATCTCAAAATAACCCCCGCGTCAGTGTCCTCGTCCTCATCTTCATCGGTTTCTTTGATACGCGTGTGTGCAGGACGAGCATCAGCGGGACATGGAGACGGTGCTGGTGGCTCAGACTCTCAGTGGTCTGGCGGGTTTGAAGGAGCTCAACGAGACTCTGACGGCCACCGTGGAGACGCAGCGAGCTCTGGCCGACAAGGTGAGTCCGTCCCCCGTCTTCTGTCTTGTGTTTCACACCAGTGAAATCCATGAACGCAGTCAGCCTGTGCTCCACCTCCTCATGGTCCTTCATCGTGTCCCTCTCAGGTGGAGGCCATGAAGGAGGTGGGCGTGTTCTTCAGCAGCTTGGTCCAGGAGCTGGCCGCGCTGCGGGAGGAAGCCGTGCGGAGCCTGAGCTCGCTGCAGGCCGAGCACGACAAGCTGGAGGACGAGATCAGACGGGCGCAGGACCGACAGCAGGCGGTGAGACACGGCTTTGTCCCGCTAGAGGACGAGCTTGATTTGAGACCCTTTATGAAAATGTCAAACCAAACCAACGCGTCCCCGTGCTTCTTGCTGTCAGGGTGTGAAGCAGACCATGCAGGTCCTGCAGGACCAGCTCAGCCTGCTGTGCCTGGAGGCCCAGAAGGACTACACGGGTCTGCGCTCCGCCACCAAAGCTCTGCAGGAACCCCTGCAGGTCCTTCAGGAGAACATCAGCAGGTGAGTCACAAACCAGCGTTGTGGGATTGAGGGGAGGCGATTAGCCTGGTCTTCATTCCTCTTGCGTTGTGTCTCTTCTGCACAGCGGCTGCAGTTCGGCGGAGCGCCGGGCCTCGTCCCAGGCCGACGCGCTCTCCTCCACCTCGGCCTCGCTCGCCGCCTCTCTGCGTCTGAACGCCGACGGAGGCCATGAGGCGCTGGAGGAGATGACGGGCTGCTGCTCCTACCTCCACGGCGCCGTGTCCGGTACTTCATTCCCCTTCACTTAAACTTCCCCGCCGTGCTTTGTTGCTGTTGCTGACTCCATTTTGGTGACTGCAGGTCTGGTCCAGCGTGATCTCCAGCGGAGCTCCACAGCCAGGGAGCAGGCGGAGACTCAAGCCCAGGAGCACCTGTCCCTAATGGGGAGGATCTCCACTGAAGCTCAGACCCTCCGTCAGGTAGAAGGAGCCTCTGGCGTCTCACAGAGCGACACTTCGTTTCACACCAAACTCTGCAGCTTCTCAGAGGTGAAACTCGTCCTCACCCTGAATCCTTCATCTGTCCTGCAGACCGTGGAGACGCGCTGCACCGAACGGCTCCGGACAGCCGAGGAGGAGCTGTCCGGTCGGCAGGGGGAGGTGAAGCGCTCTCTGGCGGCCGTGCAGAACCAGACCTCCCTGGACCGGACGGTCCTGGACCAACAGCACGCCGAGCTACGGGACCACGTGGACGCCAGCCAACAGCTGGTCCTCGGCTTCCTGCAGGAGGAGCTGCAGCAGGACGTCCCCACCGGTAAACCAAGCTCACTTTGTTCCTCTTGATGTTCTACTGTCATTTTCTTCTTTTGAAAAATCCACTCCGAGAGGAGAACACGTCAATGAACGAACCTGCCAAGCGCATTAACCAGTTCTGCTGTTGCCTTCAGGTTCCACCCCTCAGCGGCGGGACTTTGTGTATCCCAAGCGGCTGGAGAAGCTGCGGAGCCGCAACGAGCTGCTGGAGAACCTGAGGATGCAGCAGGAGGAGCTGCAGGCCGCCATCGATGAGGAGGGGGAGGAGGAAGAGGAGGACAAGGACAGCCAGGTGGATCACGTAGGTTCACTTTTCTGTTTCCTCCAGCGTTCGTTGATGACGGGATCCATGTTGTAGGACGTACGATCTCATCCATACGGGCTTCATATTTTCAACAATTTAGTTTTTAACTGACCCGGGACACTGTTTCCATTTTTCAGCGGAGTTTGTTGTTGGATGTTTTTTTGTTTTCTCTCCGTGGCAACAAATGAATTCTCTCTGGAGATAAATTCCTGCTCCGTCTTTACCGTCTCTTTGTGTGTAGGACTCTCTGGAGGACGAGCTGAGTCCTTGTAGTGAAAGCTTGAACACGGAGCCGTCCTTCATCGACGAGAACCTCGTCTTCAACGAGAGCAAACGCGTTCCCTTTTTCAAGGTGAGCGGCAAAAATAAACACTGAAAGTTTCTATTCCCCGTATCTATCTGATCTATCTTAACGAGGGTGGATGTGCTGTAATTTCTTTCCCAGCAAAAGAAGGGCAGCAAGAAGGAGGCGAAGATTCCCGGCAGGCAGAAAACGTCCGAAAACGAAGCCGCGACGCCACAAAGATCCAGACTACCACTCCGCTCCCAGAACTAACACAATGTTAATATATTCCTCCTTAACGTCTTATTACTGTCCGTCTTTTATTTTGAACCATTTGCCTTCTAAATGTTAGGATGTTGTGTGATGAATGTCTCTTGTTTTTTAGCCGTGAATGTTTCATCGTCTTCAAGTAGCTTGTAAAAAATAAAGAGATTTATACTTGTTTCATACTTTTATGAATCATTATTCTAGTAGATCTGTACATTTTGTTTTCAATCTCATGAATAAAATCTATATATGTAGATCAACAATATTAATAACATTTATGGCTGAAGTCTACAAAATGACAGTAGTCAAACTATTGAACACAAACCTCAGATACTCATCAGTCGAACCTTCGGTCCTCCTGGCTGCTTTGTCTCAACCAGCAGAGACGTTTACAAGAATGAACTCTGATAAACTGACTTCAGACAGCTTCTGCTTCTGCTTGTTTTAAAACCCGAATAAAGCAGCTGGTGTAAGCAGTGGATAAGAGGCCGTGGACAGAATCAGGTTTCGCTTTCATCTACTTTTTTTTTTTTTTTTTTTTTTTTTTTGTTTTGTTAAATGTGTTTTTTTTTATGTTAGCTTACTTGGCACTGGTTTACCTAAAGTAATTGACATATAAATAAATATTTGGTGATAGACCCCAAAAATTGATAGATTAGTCATTACTAATTATACTTGTAAGCACGAGGGAAATTCCGGGAAACAACCGCATTTTACTTTCGGTTTCAAGAGGTATCAGTGAATAATGTCTCCCCAACTGAACGCGTTCCACTGTGGTGTCCGGTAAACTGCCTGCTAAAAATACGTGACGTCACTCTATTCGTCACAATTATTTTTTTTTACAATCACTTTGCTATTTCCAGAACCTTGATGTAATTTGTCAAAACTCAAAAAGGTTATCACGGTAACACAGGCTGCCGAATGTTCAAAACACTGCATCGTGCATTCACACCTTTAAAGAAATCTTGCACTTGCACAAGCATTGGTTCAAAAAAACAAATTTACTGGGAAATACCATTGGAACCAGCTATAGATCACCCACACACAAGCAACTGATAATTTCACTGTGTCATTGTTTGTTTATGTTGTAGAACAAAATGGGTGATTCAGGTTTCATTATGGTACTACATGTACAGCAAATACATCTCTGTAAAAGTGCTGCAGTAGTAGAGAGAATACTACAGACACAGTGGAATCATTGAACAATATATTTGCAATACATTGATGCAAAACACAACAGTACAATCACAACATAGGTTTATTTGAATCAAAGCAAAAACAATTATCTATGGAATAGAAAAGAAAAGACAGTACTGTAAAACATCAAATGCAGTGTTCCTCAACTTGCTTGCTTGTACTGTAAGAAACAAAACTGGAGTGATTACTTTACTTCTACGTTGTCATCAACTTTGTGTTGTGGATTTGGCCACAGCTTCTCATCTACATCACAATGGATGTTTTCATTAGCCAAACATCTTGGAAAAAACCTTTGGGCATGGCGGATCCAGGCCTGACACTGGTGTGCTGTGATGTCATTGCAGGCGTCATCCATGGCTTTTCTACATAGAAACATGACTTGCGCACTTCCACTAAATATAAACGAACATTTAATCAGGCAGTGAGACGGGCACCTTTGAGAGGAGCAGCTGGTCCTCGTCTCTTCACACTGCAAACGGTTATTTTCGTTGCATCTCCAGAAGCGCAGAAAAATAGGAAGGAGGAAGAAGGAAGGGCGCGGACCCGACGGAAAGTATTTCTTTGCTGACATAAACATCGATCCGTGTTCGATGGAGCAGCGGATCCGCGTGTTGGTGCTGCTCGCGGCGCTGAGTTCCGTCGGAACCGCGCAAGATCTTCGTTACTTCACGGACGGCAGCGAGTGGACCTTCGAGGTGAGGCCTCCCGTCACCGGGGAGATCACGGGCATAATATGGAAGTTCAACGGCGATCGGGTGGCCGACTGGTTCAAAGACATCGCTCCTTTGGAGATTTACCCCAGGTTCAAAACTCGCTCGAGCCTGAACACGAGCACCGCCATTTTGGTCATCAAAGACATGACCAAAAACGACGTGGGCGAGTACTCTGTTGAGATCAACAACAAGCTCCAGAGCGGGAGATATGACATGAAATGGATCCGTAAAGTCAACAAACCTGAAGTGAACGTTAGAGCGTGTTGGCGTATCTCTGATAAATGCACCGTGACCTGCGACGGAGGCACCGAGGAGGCCGAACCCATCGCGTACCACTGGAGAATAGGAACAGAATGGAAGAACCTGGCAAAGGACGTCAAGATCACTCTGGTGGATCATGGAGGTGAGAAGGACATCACCTGCCGGATGAAGAACCCGGTCGGTGAAGCAGAGAGTGAACCGGTCAACAATCCGCTCTACTGGTTACACTGGAGCAAAATTGTGTTGATCGTCGTAGGTCTGCTTGTGTTGGTTCTTCTTGTGCTCCTTATTGGGTTGTGTAGATGTAAGAAAAGGTCCCTTAAAACTCGAGACACACAAGAACCTAAACCTACTGATCCATCTAGTGACGCTGTAAAACCCATCCTGTTAAGTGAAACTTGAACGTGAAGCTGTGAACTGTCTCACAACATCTGTACCAACATCTGTCCTCAAGGGAACCGTGGCTGCAGAAAACAACATGTCAATTGTGCGTTTTTTTTTAACATCCAGCTGTGTGGCGCCGTGGACTGTTACTTGATTTTAGATGGATGTTCGTTGGAGAAGAGCATGAAAAATGTGATCTTGATTTTGTCATCTTAAATACGCTTCTAGCTGGTTGCTGCCTGGTTTATATGCAACACAACACATATGAGATGTAAAGTTAAAGTTGCTTGTAGTAATGCACTTAGGAACGCTGTCACTGTTTTTTGATGCTTTAAATAACCGATTATTTGAATGTACATACACCATGTTGAAAGTGCTTTTGAGTTGATGTCAGAGCATTTGGAGCATCTATATGCATCATTATTCAACTGCCTTGAAAATAAAACGTTTGACTCTGCTATACGGATTGAATGAGTCATTATTTTATGTGCCAAGTGAACACGGGAACGAAGTGAAGCCGGAAGTGAGTCGGGGATCACTCTCACCTCTTTGCTCTTTGTGCAGAGAGCCGGGATGGATTCAGGAGAACCGATACGGACACGCGGTAAAGATCCCACAAACCCAGTGAACAATAGACCGATAGTGTTGACACATTTCTGCTAAATAATGGAGAAAAGTATAAATGAAATATTAACATATGATGTAGAAAGTAAGGTGTGTTTGTCCAAACATCAGAGTGGTTTCAGAAAAGCGAGAAATACAACAGAGCAGCTTCAGGTTTGGAACACGACACGAGGAAACCGGTATACAGAAAGTGTGGCAGTGGTCCTCTTTGACAGGCGATCAATAAAGTACTTCTATTCATAGAGAAGACACATGACATGATGTGGAAGGAAGGGCTGTTAATTAGACTTTGGAAGCTCCAGTAGGAGCTTGAGCAAATCGTGGCACCGGCAACCCGCCGAGGCATTTCCTGTTGCAGGTTGCTGTGCCGCGACGAATCGTGGCAACTGCCTCGATTGCCTGCCTCAGTTGCCACAAATTCGAGACACTTGCCACGACTTCGAGGCACTTGCCTCGATTGCCTGCCTCAGTTGCCACGATTTCACGAGGCAGCTGCCACGATTCGCCGCGGCACCGCAACCTGCAACAGGAAGTGCCTCAGCGAGTTGCCGGTGCCACAATTTGCGCTAGCCCTCTCTCGGAAGTTGGGTGTTAAGGGGCGGATGTATAAATGGATAAAGATTTTCATGTCAAAGAGGTTCATAGAAGTCAGAGTTGGAGCGAGAGAGAGAGAGAGGATGCAGAACGCACATCAGGTGAACAGGTGAGAGAGCACAGGTTGGAATACCGTTGACGGGGTGTTTCATCGCATATGATGAAAATGCAGGGATCTGGTACAAAGGTGATTGTGGTACATGTGTGTATATGAGTAGTTCAGTTATTTAATTTCTATATTTTTCCTTTTTTCGGGGAGAAAGAGAGGGAAGTATATCGTCTGATCCACACTCCGGTGCAGAAGGTGGTGGTAATGCACCAATGACAGGAATGCAAACTGACATAAAACCCCCCAAAAAAGAAGAAGAAGAGGAGGGAAAAGAAGGGGAAAAAGGACGTTGACCCGACAGAAAATGTTCCTCTGCTGACATAAACCTTGATTTCCCATCAGTTCGTATTGATCCGTGTACGATGGACCAGCTGATCCGCGTGTTGGTGCTGCTCGCGGCGCTGACTTCAGTCGGAACCGCGCAAGATCTTTGTTACTTCACGGACGGTGACGAGCGGACCTTCGAGGTGAGGCCTCCCGTCACCGAGCCGATCGCGGCCATCGTGTGGAAGTTCAACAGTGATCTGGTGGCCGAGTGGGTCAAAGACATCGTTCCTTTGGAGATTTTCAACAGGTTTAAAACCCGCGCGACCCTGAACACGAACACCGGCAGTCTGGTCATCAAACACATGACTAAAGACGACGTGGGCGAGTACTCTGTTGAGATCAACCACCAGCTCCAGAGCGGGAGATATGACATGAAATGGATCCCGAGAGTCAACAAACCTGAGGTGAACATAACAACGTGTTCGCCTGACTCTGATAAATGCACCGTGACCTGCGACGGAGGCACCGCGGAGCTGGAACCCGTCTACTACGGCTGGAGAATAGGCTCCGCAGGATGGAGGATCCTGGGAAAGGACGTTGAGATCAACAAGGCGGATCATGGAGGTGTTGAGTACATCACCTGCCGGATGAGTAGCTCGGTCGGTGAAGAAGAGAGTGACCCGGTCAGAAATCCGCTCCTCCCGGACCCGGTGCTCTCAGCTGTAATTGGGTAACTGTGGGCGAAAATAAATGAATCTACCAAAAGTATCGCATTAAAGTTTCTTGTAGTAAAGCACCTTAGGAACGCTGTCACTTTTTTTGTTTGCTGCCTAAAGTAAACTCTTCTTTTGTCTGGCGATGCCACTTTTTTCATGTTAATCTTGCTGTTTTGCATATGAACAGTTTTATAAAGTGCCTTGAAAATAAAGGTTTGACACGGGACTCATCAGGGCCACTATAGACTGTGCAGTGTATCAGTCAGCAGCATAAACATGGCTGAAGAAAATAGATATAACTCCACATCAAGCACTAAGACTCTGCAACTTCCACGACTCCCACATCAGACTGCAGATAGAAATGAAGGAAATGCCGCCGGACATCAGGAGAACGCAGTTATCAATAAATCACTGGGCAAAATTGAAAAGGTCATAAATCAAACAGCTGTTACAAGTGGACAAGTACATCGGAAATAACTATTCAGACCACACAATAATTTACACAGATGCATCAAAAACAATCAATGGAAGAGTGGAAGTAGCATTTGTCCTACCAGAATAAGATCATGTCAAACAATTAATAAAGGACCACTTGTCAGTATGCAGAACAGCAATACTGCTGGTGCTGAACTGGGTGGAAGACAACAGGCCGGGGAAAGTTTAATAGGATCAGACTCATGCAACGCATTAGTAACCATCAGGGATGTCCAGTCAGACGCGTCATTGTAGAAATCCACCAAACTCTTCTCCGAATGGAGAAAAATAAGACAGCAGTCACATTCATGTGGACCCCAAATCATAAAAAGGTTAAAGGGAACCAGCTGGCAGACAAATACGCAAAGATGGCAACAAGGGAAGAAGAAAGAAACATAATTATACGTAAATGATGTTGTTTTGGAAGTCAAGGTTTAAACTGTAATGAAACACAAATAGCAGAAGAGATGGGGAAGGAAGGAGGAAGCAAAGAACATTGTTCTCCTTCAGCTTGATGCTGCTTCCTCCTGCTCCATAAAACACAACTAATGTAAAGTTAGTTTATAACCACACAACAAAACAAAAGGAGCAAAGCAACTTCAGTTTATTTGTGTATTTATTCTGTCAAGTTACTGACTTAGAAAGTGATGATTCAGGTTGATAACTTGTCTACCTGAGCTCACTTTGATCCATTTCTGTTCATAATATGAAGTATAAACTATATACAAAAACGCCTCAGCGTCAACCTCTAAAGTCATTAAAGTGACTTTTCACTAATAACTACAGACGAGCTGCCGGTTAACGTGAGCTGCTCGTTGTGCGTTTGTTCTAAATGTGTGTTGGTACTTTACTGAATTTATATGTAAAACAATGAATTTGGCAAATGCAACAAAAAGTGACAGAATTAAGACAATTGTAGAGATACTGGGGATTAAAGAAGCTCCGGATATGAACGCGTCTGACATAGGCGACCATTACCCAATACTATGCTCATTAAATTGCAGAATCTAATACAATAGATTGATGGTGTTTTCATAAAGCCATCTGGGGAACACTTGAAGAACGCTGTAGGACGGCATGCAAGGATCTATCTTCAGAGGGTCAGCTGGGAGAGCGTAGTATCCTCTATGACTCCAGGTGCTGCATCAACATGCATTGCAAAGAGTAAAGTGAAGGGGAAAAAGACAACGGCGTCATGCTGTTAAAGAAAGAAATCAGATTGAACAGATTCAGAACCACTTCCAAGGCTTCCTCATGGTGATTGACCAGTAGCATAAACTTGTCTTGGCCGAGGCCATCATACGAACGTAAAGGCATCATAACGTCAGAAATCCATTCATGTAAAGTCATTCAAAGGGAACTTTCTGACAGACGAGGTCGTTATAAGATTCTGACACGCAGGACTGAACTCAACTCCGTCCTTAGTGGCAAGAAGGGGATCAGATAATATAAGTGCCGGCGGGGGACGAAGGTGGAGTGTGGAGGGAGTTCTGGCAGTGGAGGAGGGTGGGGTGACTCCTCTAGGACGCTGATACAATTAAAAAAGAGACGCTGAATCTGCGCACTCCGGTACAGTAGGTGGCGCAATAAACCCAGACGCGCTGGGTTGCGATCCGCAGAAGAGAGAATAGAAGAAGGAAGAAGAAGGAAGTAGCGAAGGAAGGGCGTGGACCCGACAGAAAATGTTCCTCTGCTGACATAAACATCGATTTCCCATCAGTTCGTATTGATCCGTGTTCGATGGAGCAGCGGATCCGCGTGTTGGTGCTGCTCGCGGCGCTGAGTTCCGTCGGAACCGCGCAAGATCTTCTTTACTTCACGGACGGCAGCGAGCGGACCTTCGAGGTGAGGCCTCCCGTCACCGAGCGGATCGCGTCCATCGTGTGGAAGTTCAACAGTGATCTGGTGGCCGAGTGGACCGATTGGAGTCCTTTGGAGATTTACTCCGGGTTTAAAACCCGCACGGACCTGAACACGAACACCGGCATTTTGGTCATCAAACACATGACTAAAGACGACGCGGGCGAGTACTCTGTTGAGATCAACCGCCAGCTCCAGAGCGGGAAATATGACATGAAATGGATCCGTAAAGTCAACAAACCGGAAGTGCACCTAAGAACTTTAACGTGTTCGCCTGATTCTGATAAATGCAACGTGACCTGCGACGGAGGCACCGAGGAGGCCAAACCCATCGATTACGACTGGAGAATAGGCTCCGAAGAATGGCAGAACCCGGGAAAGGACATCGAGATCACCAAGACGGATCATCGTGATGTTAAGGACATCGCCTGCCGGATGAAGAACCCGGTCAGTGAAGCAGAGAGTGAAGCGATCCCCAATCCGTTCCTCCAGGACCACTCGTTGTCTGCAGGTGCAATTGGGGGGATCGTCGTACTTGTACTTGTACTTGCACTAATAGGTGTAATGGTAGCTCTGGGTTGGTCTTTTAAATATAAGAAATGGCCCTTCAATGATCGCGTCTCATCTGAACCGGAAAATTCTCTCGGAGTGGCACTCAAAACCACCTCGTCTGATTAAACTTTGTGAAGCTGTGAAGTGTCTCACAACATCTGCATCAACATCTGTCCTCCAGAGAACTGTGGCTACAAACACGTGCCAACTGATTGTGGGTGTTTGGCCTCCAGATGTGTGGCCTCGTGGACTGTTAGTTGATTTTTAGATGGATTTTAAAGCGTTTTTTTTTTGCCAAACGAACAATGGTAGTTGGAGAAACGTGACCTTATCTTGATCTTATCTTGCCTTTTTTAAATATGCCTATAGTTTGTTGCTGCTTAGGTTTATATGCAACACAACACATATGAGATGTAAGCGGGGAAGATGAACGGATGAAACAACTTGTGGCGCAGGGGTTAGAGAAGGTGTGCTGGTGTAAGAATACGTGTTCAAGATTTGGAGCCTGGTCGGGGTTATCAAAAATTCAGCCGAATGACTTCTCTTGTTCTGGGAAATTTATTTGTCAGATCACAGGTCAAGTATCAGCACTGCGTTTGCAAAGGCAGGAGCAGTTCAGGCAGCACACAGGCCGGAAGAACAACTAACTAACATCAGCAAGAACGGCATTCCTCAGCCAGGACATAAACTGACTCCCCATCCTGTCAGACTCGTGTCTGCCTGCTTGGCAGATCCTGCTTCTTACCTAACTCTTGAATCAAGACAAGACAGCGAACCCCCAACAAAGCCCATGAAAAGAACTTTTGATTATTACTGGGAAGCACAAGGTTGGTGGTTCAATTCCAGGCTGCCCCATGTTCCATGTCGAAGTGTCCCTGAGCAAGACACCTAACCCCTAATTGCTCCCCGGGCAAAATGTGAAAAAGCCATGGGTTGTCTGCTAAATGACATGTAATGTAACATTCAGTATTCAGCTACGTGTCAGCAGGTCACAATCTTACACCATCCCAAAAATATACTAATTATAAATACGTATGAGTATAAATTACTCTACCAAAGGTACCACATTAAATCAAGTTAAAGATGCCTAAGTGAGGCATGGGAAAGGGAAGTTTGGGGTGGCCTGCTGGGACTGACCCGACCCTGGATAAGCCGGCACTGTTTTTTAAAATGGCAGAAGAATATGATTTGAATGTACATGGTTAAACATGCATGCTTTTATGATAAAGAGAAAAACCAATGCAGAGTCGATGTCAGAGCATTTGAAGCATATATGCATCGTGATTAACTGGATAAGACTCTTTTCTATTTTTAAGCACCACTTTCTGTCTCATTATTTTCTCTGTCTCACTTTTTAATTTATTTTAGTTAACATTTTAAACTTACCGTTTCCATATGAATTGTTTTTAGAAAGTGCTTTGAAAATAAAACTTTGACTCTGCTATACGGATTGAATGTGTCATTATTTCATGTGAGTGACGAGCGAACGCAGGAACGAAGCGAAGCCGGAAGTGTGTCGGGGATCACTCTCATCTCGTTCCTCTTTGTGCGGTGATGCTAGCAGCGTTTAACCGGGGATGGATTTAGAAGAAGCTCTTCAAGTTGTCGGCGAGTTTGGACCCTACCAGAGGCGGGCGGTGGCCATCCTTGTTCTGACACAGGTAAAATAATAAATAAAAACCATAATAACTGGTTCGTGCATGCACAATAAGCGCGGTAAAGCGTGTGCGTTGTCACAGCTATAGCGCGACGTGGCTTTCACCCGCTAACGTCGCTGTGGATCAACATCATCATTTAGCGTGTTGGCGGTTGGACATTGACACGTTGGAGCCGTCACGTTAACTTGGTAGTTTATCATTCACTTAGTTGCGAGTGCGTTTAGTAAACTCTGCGGGTAGAAAACTTCACACCAGACTTCCTTGTTTTTTTTGTTGGTTTTTTAAACCGAGACGAGCGTTCTCCTCGTTTGTCAGACGGGCCTCCGCACTGCGCGGCAGCAACTGGAGATGATTTACTTTTTAATTCCGAATATCACACAAAGGCCGTTTGAACGTGACGTCACTGTGTCAAACATGTCATCTGTTCGTCCTGTGCTCGTCAAGATGGAAATCCCCCGCGGCCAGTCGGCATAGCTAAAATAATAACGGCTCTTGATGACGTCAACAAGGGTCGGATTTATTGGTTAAAAAAACCCGTCTCAAGTGTATTTAACCCCCCCCCCCCCACACTAGTCACTCATTGGTATGTAACAGCCTTCTAAATATATCGTTATATTAAATGAAGTTCGTTAAAGCTTGCGTTAGCTAGCTAGCTAGCTAGGTAGCTTGCTCCCCAAACTAAGTGGCACAGAGGTTTCCTCTCTATAAAGCACGGCCTCCCATCTCTGAGGCCGGGGATCCAAGAGGCTTTTTAAGTAGTATGTTTTACTCAACTTCATTAAACACTCAACAACACATGTAGATACTGCGTTGTTTTCCCTTGACACTTGAATGAAAAACTGTAATCTGAAAAAGTAATGTCAGATAAATGTAGTGAAATAAAGTGGAGGAGAAGTATAGCGTCAAATTTGGATGATATTTCAGTCCTTTTTTTTTCACTATCCCACAATTGCAGTTTAGAGAGGAATAATATAAAGTGTTCCTTTAGACTTTAATTTGTGGTTTAGATAATGTTGCATCTACAAGTTTAAATCCGCATGTGAGACGTGCACACCGGTTGTTGGACTTGAAGGCTCCTGTGGTGACGTTGATGCTCCTTCTTGTAAACTAGTCCCTCAGGTACTGTGCTGATCCGTGTGCTTCCAGGTGTACATGGCCTGTCAGTCCATGCTGATCATTCTGGTTGGATCCACGCCGGAGTACCGCATGGAGCCGCAGGACGGGGTCCCGTCCGGCCAGCAGGAGCTCCTCCAACGCGTCACCTTCACGGAGGACATTGACTCCATAGTGACGGAGGTGAGGGAGCTTCAGTTCATCGTCACCCTCACCCAGCCGACGCCGTTGACTCAGCAAGTGAGCCTTTCCTCTGTGTTCCAGTGGTTTCTCGTCAAGCAGCAGGCCTATAAGGTCAGCCTCGCCGGGTCGCTGTTTTTCGCCGGGCTCCTGGTCGGGAACGTCGTCTTCGGGCCGCTCTCCGACAAGATCGGGAGGAGGCCGGTTTACCTGACAGGTGAGGAAGACCATGAACATGATCACAGATTGTGCTCAGGCCCGCTCTGCTCATCTCTTCCTCGGCCTCCCAGGTCTCTTTTTTGAGGTGATCTTCGGCTATGTGACCGCCTTGGCGCCCAGCTACGAGGTCTTCGCCGTGTCTCGTCTCCTCGTGGGACTGATGAACGGCGGCATCGGCCTCGTCTGCTTCGTTCTCACTCAGGAGTACGTGGGCAAGTCCTACTGGGCCATGACCGGTACGAAGCACCCATCGGTCCTTCCCTCCGTACCGCGTCTTAGTTTTCACCTGTTGATCATTTGGTTGGGATGGAAGGAATGACTAGCTGAGTTGAGTTTTTACTTTATTTCCGTCTTCAGGGACGTTGACGAGCATGAGCTTTGCCGTCGGCATCGCGCTGTTTGCCGCTCTGGGCTACTTCGTGCGGCCGTGGAGGAACCTCGCCGCCGTGGCGAACACGTCTGGTGTCCTCTTCTTCCTGATGTCTGTGTGAGTTTAAATGTCAGAGGGATGATTCCAAAAACATCCGAAGCGTTTCTTCTCACAAGAGGATTCTAAAAGGATTCTACATTTGGTGCATTATTTGATCAGCAGCAGTTTCAAGGCAATACGGGTATTTTTAAAGAGTGTAATGAATGCGCCTGAAGCAGAATACATTACATTTAGTTTTGTGTATGATGCTGGTATCTTCACGCTGGCTTCCAGACCTTCATTACAGCCTTTTGAAGACAGATTTCCATCTCCGATGATTTTGCAGCTCTGACGGTTAAATGCAGGCGTGACAATTAAAATTGTCAAATTTATGATTCAAAGAATACATGTTTTGCTGCAAATACAACAATCTCTCCTTGCCTCCTTTCCTCCAGAACTCTGCCAGAGTCTCCTCGCTGGCTGTATTCTCAGGGTCGGACGGAGCAGGCTGAAGAGGTAAAATAGATTAATACGAAGAGAGAATTCATAATGTCCGAGTAAGTTAAACATGCATTGGAATGACTATTTTTATAGAAGAATGTTTAGTTCTCCTGGAGATCTGGACGTGATTTGAGTTAGAAACAATAACAAGTTTGACTCCTGGATTGTGCATGGTCTTTGTGTCATCTTGTCGTTGTAGGTCCTGCGCTACATCGCGCTGAGGAACGGCAACGCTGCGAACAACCTGCGGTTGAAACGCGTTGGTGGTGCTAAAGCCGGTAACCGCGGCAACGGGGGTGCGGGTGTCCTGCAGCTGGTGATCCATCCGGTCCTCCGGCTCAGGACGATGGTGCTCATGTATGTCTGGTGAGTGTGTAGCACCACAGAAGAAGAACGAAATGTGCAAACTGTAGGAAGAAGCAGAATATTTACTTAAATGATGATTGTGAAATAGTCAGGGAATGTTTATTGTTTGTAAGAACACTGTGGTTTCTTGTACGGTGACATAAAGAGTATTTTCAGACTGTGAGGAGGAAATAACATGTTCACCACTTTAACTTTAGAGTATTAGCAACTTTACGTAGTGTAAACTCTGCCACACACATCTCTACGTGTTCTTGAAATCTTCACCTTCTGCTTTCAACAGTTTGGCTTTGCTTATATTTTGCACGGTTTAGAGTAAACAAGCTCACCTGCAGAAGAAGAGGGAAGAGTCACATCTTAAGGACACGCAAAACAAGATAAATGTCAAGGAGCGCCTTAGCATGCTGGAGATGTAACTTCTAACTATAATCATCATAGTACCTTACATAGTGTGTGTGTGTGTGTGTGTGTGTGTGTGTGTGTGTGTGTGTGTGTGTTGCAGGTATGCGTGCAGTCTGGTGTACTACGGTCTGACTCTGGGGGCCGGGGAGACGTCCGGCAGCCGTTATGTGAACGTGGCCATGTACGGCCTGGTGGAGCTGCCCGCCTACCCGCTCTGCATATACTTCATCAACAAACACTGGTGAGACGGACGCACACACGGCGACACACACTTTTGACCTTCTCACAGCTCTTTTTTTTAGTTTCATCAGCCATGTTCAGTTCGGTTCATTCGGTTCAGACGTTTGCGGCGCACAATGTTTGCGAAGCGTCCCCGCTGAAGCGCCTGCCGGCGGTCTTCTGTTTTCAGGGCGGGGAGGAGGAAGAGCATGGCCAGCTTCCTGTGTCTGGCTGGCTCTGCCTGCTTCTGCACCATGTTCATCCCCGAAGGCTCCGGTGAGACAGACGAGTACACTTCTGATCTCAAATGTGCGGCGAAACAAACCCGACAGGTCCGGAATATTTAAAGGGGTTTTAAAAGGCTTAAAAAATGTTTTGAATTAACTCTCTTATCTCATACAATTAAAAGTTTGGAAGAATTTTCTTTACACCGCACAAGCCAAATTAATGCTTCAAATTAGATTATATTGAATTAAATCTATTTAGCACTGCAAATATTTCTTTAGCTGTGACCTGTAGTTTTTGGTCGTTGCCATGACGGCCTAAAAGCATCTTGAATCCACTCAGCCGCCAGCAACCATGAGCTCACATTCTAAAATGTTCAATTCTTTGGCCGACTCCTTTTCGTCCGCAGGGGCGTTGCTGAGCGTCACGTCGTTCGCTCTTCTGGGGAAACTGATGGTCAGCGCGGCGTTCAACATCGCCTACGTCTACACCTCTGAGCTCTACCCGACGGTTATCAGGTGAACTAAGGACACGGACGTTGCGCCGCCTAAAGAGGACCCGAGGGTGTCGCTTTCTTCCTCACCGCTTATTTCCGTGCGTTTCAGGAATGCTGGTTTGGGAGTTTGTTCCATGTCCTGCCGAGTTGGAGGAATCCTTGCACCGTTTGTTCCCTCCATGGTCAGTAATGTCATGTCGTGTCAGAGCCGTCTGATTCATTCACTCGTACTCCATCTTTCTAGTTAAATTTTCTCAATCCAAACATTTGCAAAATACGGTGAGTTTGGTGTCATTGTAGAAGTCTCGTCCTCTCCAAAACAAACCGACATGGTGATTTAAAGCGGTAAAATATTAAGAAAACAACCAAGATCTAAAAGGTTATTGTATCTACATATTATTTGTATTCACTGGATCCTTATGGACTAAAGGAAAATAAATAATCGACCACTTCAAATGTAGGGAGTCACTTGAAATCTCCTTTGCAAATTCCTTAGTTGGATTAATCAACGTCTACTGTAGCTCATTTTGATTGTGTGTGTGTGTGTGTGTGTTGCAGCGGGCTCTCCACACCTCCCTGCCATTCACCGTGTTCTGTCTGAGCGGGCTGTCTGCGGGCTGCCTCGGCCTCCTGCTGCCCGAAACCCTCAACGGACCTGCGGCCGAGACTCTGGAGGAGCTCGGCAGCTCGAGCCGCGGCCGAGTGCTGGAGAGCAAGGTGAGCGAGCTGCTGGTTCTGCCGCCGTGCTCGCGAAAAAACAAACGCATGTTGACACACAACGCAATCTCAGCGGCGGCGGAACCCGCGCGGGCGGCCGTGTCCATGATCACGTCTTTCACTCGTCACGTCCGGCGTTTGTTTTTTGTTCCCCGCAGGCTCTTTTGTACAAAGATGACAATAAGAAATCAAACCGCATGTGAGGCCGGCGGTGTCGGGTCTTCGTCACCAGAGCAGCTCACGGCGGCGGCGCGGAATGTCTTCACCTCATTCCGTTTGAAACTGCTGCCTCAGGAAATCGCTGGACTCTCCCTTTTTTTGATGATGGACTTGAAGGACTAGTCACCGCGTTGATGTCTGTGAACTACGACCTCTTGAGTGGGGCAGGGGAGTAGACGCCGACCGAGGAGGGCGTTAATCGAGTGACCAGCAGTTCCTCTCGTACGGAGGTTTACCACAGGTGACCTCCTGCCTTTTTAGTTAATTTCCTGAACACCGTCGTGGTCTTTGTGCCTTATTTGGAGGTAGACGGCTGAGACGGACCGATACGTGACTTGCGTTACATTCCACAGATTCCAGGAAGTCAGAAAAACCGCTTACTGCCCACAAAGGTGTGATGGAAATGATCTGACATCAAACGCACTATACATTCCTACTTAAAGTGTAAGCCAGTGTTGTAGTCAAGACCACCTGAGCCAAGTCGGTGTGTCTTTATCGAAACTGAGTGTTTTCAGACAAAGTGAACAGGCCAAACTCTGCATGACACACTTTCAATAAAATGTGGATCATGCAAAGCGTCCTTGATCCGACCTTCCCATATGTGACTCAGGACCAGAGGAAACGTTAATTATATTCTTTATTTAGCAACTTTTTGCCCCTTATGTATGTGCTCGGTGCTGCGTGTGCCTTTATGTTCCTTATTGGTTGGCGTGTAATGATGTGGGGCTTCTAACCGTTTCACATTTTCTTTTACATTTTCAATCTGTAAATCCATGAATCTCAAAGGCTCTTTGGGCTTGAGCCGAAAATATATAAACATTATTATTAATGGTTCACTAGTTGGCTACTTATCTCCACTTTCTGGTGTTTAAGAAAAAAGCAAAAGCACTAAAATGGTAGCTGGAGTTGAAATTTTGTGAGTGACCAACCGACTAAAGAATCAACAGGAACTTTTTAGGCTGAAGGTTTATTACGACTTGAATTCATGGAGAATCACGTCCAGTAATAATGTTGGGGTGCCTCCATTTCAAGTTTATTCCTGTTATCAATAAAAAGACTGACACACTTTGCTGTATTATTGCTACATTTGCTGAGAAAGACGCTTTGTGTTTGCACGAAGCAAAAGGTGCCAAAGGAGTGACACGTGTTTATTATTATTATGCCACCAAAGTGCGTGAAACAAGGTGAAACAACTTGAGATTAACAACAAACACCGTGCAGTTATTAATCAAACCACAACTCTGGTAACAAAAACTAAACTCATATTTTTGTACGTGCAACTAAACATGTCATCACTGCCCTGTGTGCCTTCTCATGTAGCCGCGACCTCTGAAATGTTTTAAAGAGAACCTGTAAGATATTATGGAGATGTAAATAGAAATGTAGGTTATATTAGTTGTATGAGATGTTTTCTATGCCATCATTTTGTATTGTATTTGTATACTATCATACTCTTACATTGTGTGCGATGTAGATTGAATGTCTCTGGGTCCTTAAAATGTAAAATGATCTATTTATGTTATGAACAGTAAACGGTTGTTTACCTGGCGGGTCTTATTTCCTTCACTCTGGTGACCAACTACAATTTCAAGTGTTGTGTCCACTGATACGGTTCAACTGTAACCCGGAAACAGCCGTGTTTCGGTCCTGAAGGTGCATCGTAAAAGATTCCAAAATGTACACTATAAGAAAATGATAAGAAATCGCTATGACGTTAAAGCATAGTAATAATGCTTAAGGCCAAAAATGTGTTTTTATTTCTAAAGGAACACCTACTTAAAATATCAGTGTAAGAGTACGCTGAAAACAGAACAAAGGGGTCACTGCTCATCAATCGGTTAGTCAGTTTGTGTTCATGTGGGACTGGTGGGTCAGAATCAACCCTTTAAAGACATCAAAGTCGTTAATAGGTTCATATAGTGTTCACCCAGATTTATTCAGCTTTATGTCCCTACTGCACTACAAATGGACATATTGAACTTTGTACTAATTTACATATAAGGATTCCACCTAACCATTTTAAGTAATAAGACACAACTTGTGTGCTTGTGATAAATTAATGATCTTGTTATCCAAAGATAATCACAAAGCCAGCTTTTATTGTAGAGACTATAATAAGATGTTTTATAGTTGGCTGTTTTGGGCTTCCACACACTGGTTATGCAGCTTCAGCCCTCTTTGATTAACGACAGTGTCCTGCTGACTACGATCTTCTACCTGAGCGAAGAATCTTTGTACTCACTGCTGCTACATTCTGAATATCTGCTGCAGTTACAAGCGGCGTCCAGCAGGTGGCCCTGTTTTCCTTTCAGCGAATCAGGGCGCGAGCCGGAGGGGAGGGGGCGGTAATGACGTCATTGTTGGGGTATTTTCAAGATGGCGCTGGACTGTGGCCGGAATGCCGCTGATGCAGCCAGTTAGAAACGCAGAGGGGATTTAATTAATCTTCTGTCCGGCGGCGCCGTTGTATTCTCGAGACGGAACTAATACAGTCACTGTGAGACATTAAAGGACTGACATGTCCCACGCGGTGAGTATCGGGTAACGTTGAAGGCTAAAATGGTAGCCCCTTCTTCAAAGAACAACAAAACCTGCTGCTGCTTTTGCTGCCGCTGCGGAGCCGGGCCGACCGGGCGGGTGGACTCGTTGCGGGATTTCACGCCCGGGGTCAAGGCTCGCTCGACGGACTGAGTCGCCATGGAAACGACGAAGGAGAACGGAGGTGCGCTCGCCGTCGACTTGAACGAGAACGAAGAGGGCGCCGCCGACGCGGGAGAGGGGCCGGCGGCTCGCGGACGCTACGTAGCGCTGAAGGACCGCAGCGCCGCGCCGCGCGCCGGAGTCAGCGGGGGTCAGGAAGCCGGGAGGGGTCACGTTTATGTCACCGGTAACGAGAGGAATGCAAACAGAGACGCCTCGGCTCAGCCGCCCCTACGCGAGAGGGAGATCACGTTGGATGTGGTCGCTGCGGAGAACTGCCCCCCCGTCCAGTTGACCGGCGGCCGCGTGACATCGGGGGTTCGCGGCGTCCTGAACGGATTCAACGAGTCATCCGGCCAGGAGGAGCCGGGGGTGGTCGTAGGCGGAGGAGGCCTCTCGGGGACCACAGGCGCTTCCCGTCCAGCTGTGCTCGAGGTTCGGGTTTCAGGGGACCGGGGCGGAGGGACGAGGCAGCCTCCCGCGGGGGAGAGCGAAGGGGAAACCCCGGATTCCGACGACGACGACGACGCCACGCCGGGAGAAGAGGCCACCGGCTGCACCAGGACCTTCCTGCCCCCCGACCGGCTGCCGTGCACGGGGAAGCACCAGCGGGACGGCGCTTGCACGGCCCTCGGGGGTCCGGATGTAAACATGGCTAACGGGGATGTTGGCAGCCCCGAAGCCGACCTGGCTTGCTGTAAACAGACAGGGGCGCTGGTTCTGGACCAGACACTCGGTCTGTGCGCGGGAGTTAAAGCTGTGAACGGCGGTTTCCACATCGTGACCAACGCCAGAGCAACGTGCGACTGGTCCGACTCGGACTCTTCCCCCGAGAACCACTCCGACGTGGACCTCGACCTGGGGGAGACGCGGCAGAGCTCTCGGTACCCGGGGGACAATGCGACCAGCGTCCCCCACTCCCTCGACCCACCCAAGGACTCCCCCACCCTGGGACCAAGTGCCAAACCGCCCCCGTCCTGCCGGTCCACCGCGGAGGACGAATTCGGTGACCTCAGTCTGCCCGTCAGGCCGCAGAGTTTGAGGACTAACTCCAACACCGTGTTGTCCCTGAGCTGCGACGCCACGCCGTTGTCCCCCGACGACGATGGGGGGTTTTATTTCGGAGACGAGGGCTGCGAGGGGGACTTCAGGGGCGTTTTGGAAGCGGGTCGCAGGCAGAGCGCCCCGGACAAGCTGCCCGATGTGACCCAGGAGGCGGACGGCTCGGACCTGAAGCTCATGCCAAAGAGGTTCGGCATAGCAGATTTCTTCACCAGGTAACCGCGAGCGAGTGTCCGCGTATAGTGCAAACGTCCACGCACAGCCCGCGTCACGTGTCGTAAAAGGCCTGCAGGCGACGAGTGCCAGCAAGCCAAACAATCATTACTCAACCCAAACACACGCTCAGTAGAGGATTCACTTCGCTCTCCAACGGCCGATCCTCGTCCCCTTAGATTCTCACTCTGATATTCTACAAACCGTTAAAGTTAATATTAAGAGTTTACCCACAACTCCTGATACACAACACAGACAGACCTCCTTGTGCATTCATCTCCTTTTACTGTAGATTTTAGGGAATGCAGCAGCTGATGCAAATATCATTTACATCACACAATTCCTGCATTACAGACCAATGCTTGAGTGGTGAGATCCAAATAGGCTTCATCAAGTCCGTCTGATCATAAGCCGGAAAATGTACTTTCTATGTGAAGGAGAAAGAACAGTCAGTTTATCAGCCTCGCCTGGAGAACACGACACCAGCTGACAATAAACTCCAGAAACTGTCAAATGTGACAGTTTTTTTTTTTTGGCATGTTGAATTGTTTTCAGTTAACAGTGCTTTTGTTGAGGATTGTGTAACTCTTCATCTTCACAATCATCACCACCAGCGTGGCATCATTCTCCATATTGGGCCTCCAGCGGAGTTCCCTTGAGCTTAAACTGATGGAATTTGTTATCTTAGTTTTGCTTTTAGGATGGTTGACTTCTCTTTTGTCTTAATCTCCCACTTGTTCGTACAACAACTGCACAGGAGTAGCTGACGTGACTAATTTGTATTTTGAGGTAATTGTGATTGAACCCTGGAACGAGCCGATGTCATTGTGACGTCTGTCCAAAGTCAAGAGGGTCCGGATCAGAGGGAATAAATAGCAATGTATGAATTTCTTACATATATTCCAGTGCAGTCCTCCAAAACCAGCGACTGTTTAACGCTTGCACAATAAATGACTAATTGATCGTTCCGACAGCAGCGACGATTCAATGCGTGACCCGGATGACTTCAGAACATTTTAACAGGTAGAGAGACGTAGACAAGCGGGAATGTCGTGATCCATTTTAAGGAGAGGCGGCGTCGGTTAATGAGTAAGCCAGACGTGGTCGCGATGTGTTTTGGTCAGCTATTAGAGTTCTTGACGTGGTTCAACTGATGAATCACAACGTTATGTTCCGCTTTGGGGGGGGGGGGCAGTTCTTACTGTCCAATCGGAGCCCGGTTGCATCAGTAACCACACGCCAAAGAAGAGGAAAAGAGACTTCAACAGAAACAAAACATGACGTTTGGCGACTAAACGCATTTCTCCTGCAGAAACGTGCCTTTTCTCTTGAATCCCTACGAAGGTAGTTTGTTATAACCACATTTGGGGATAATCTGATGAACACACGCATAATTCCTTGTGTCCCGAGATGAGCCAGAGATGCGGTGGGATGATTCCTTATTTAACATCAGTTTCTCTTCTAGCAGGGATTAAACGGGATGATAGACTTGACCATTTGACGTATCTGCTTCTTTTCATAGACGCTGCGAGCCTCCGTCTGTGTAGCGTAATAGCGTGCATGTTAATCGTGCCCCACTTTGGCGTATGCGCAGTAAGTGATACAGCAGATCTCAGTGAGCATTGACTCGGTGCAGCCTCTTTCCTCGGGGCTTGGCCCACATTCACTGCTCCCTCCGCGCTCCAGTTCTCCTCCATCAGGCCGTTTAACCTCCACGTGGCCGCCATGATGCAGCAGAGACGCCGTGTCCGCCTGTCAGCCACGGAAACCAACTCGCTCTGTGAACAATGGAGGCTTTGGGCACAATCACATGATCCTTTTCAACAACCACACTCGCTGCTGTTTAGCCAGAAATACTGCAAACACGCCTTCGAAATGGACCGTTATTATTTTACTCTGTCACTCATGACATTTACAGTATTTGATTTTACATCTTGTAAACGTAAGTGTTAATACTAAGAAGTATTCATTTATTAAACACATTTGCCTCATAGCCCCCCAAACAAAGTGATTAAATCAATAAATTGTGGTTATATTCTGGTATAGTTCCCACCATGTCTGCTTCTACGTTCATACCAGCCCAACCTCCAGAACGCGATCCTCAAACATGTCCCGTTACGACGGAGCTCGTCCTAGAAGGAGAGCGCCGTCATATCGGCCTCGATGGTGCCACACCTTAACCTTTTTTTCCTGATCTGCTGTGAGCCACAAGTCCTGACACACCAGCAGCACCGTGTGCTCCCACTAACACCAGGAAGCCTGCGAGGCTTTTCAGGAGTCGGTCAAAAGCTGCGGCCTGGAGGTCGGCTGACAGCTGTGGCGCTGTTTGTTTTAAACCTTTTAGAAACCGTAGGAGTTCTTCTAGGACGCTGTGGGCGGTTGTCCGTGGACCTGCTGCTGATGTAGTGTGAATCGTTGGGCTTCAGCATTAAATCGCTGCACCATCTTCTATTATTGGCTGTAAGGGATCGTCCAGATCAAGTTCTTGTGATACAGATTCAGATTCTTCATTCGGTTTGTTTCCCACAATACTAGACTGCATCCAGGCCTCTGAGTTGTCTGCCACATGTTAGACTTCTGTGATTATTCCGACAGAGCTGTGGGCTCCTTGGTGACCGTAGAGGGATTCAGAATGTAGACCTCATTGTTTTGTGCCACAGCTAGGAAAAAAATACCCCCCCCTCCTCCCCTCCACCGCCTCTCAAACACACTCACTCTTTCTTGCGGCTCTACTTCAGCTCCAATTGTGATATTTGATCACCAGCAGTCAAGCTGAGCAAAGTGGAACTGCACCCTGGCAGCATTCTTGTAAAATACACACAAGGAAGTGAAAGTTGAGCTGGGTGCAGTTTTTAGAGGGCGATCACTGATGCAGTAACACCTCACAGATGTTGTTTAATCCCCGTCTGGTTCTTGGTTGGGACGCGGCCCGCAGCAGCTGGCTTGAATGTCACAACGTCTCAGAGGAAATCCAGACAGTCGGAGAGAAAACTGGCCTGCTGGGAAGCCTCCACGCTGGCTGTTTGCTTCACACTGCAGATCAAATCAACTCCTGAGTAATTCTAACAAATACAACCAGGATCGCTCCTTTTATTTAGGCTGTAACTCAAAATCAGCCGAGAGCCGTTCAACCTTTCGACAGCATCTGGCTGTAACATTCTGTATTGTTTCAAGGTTCAACCGTAGAATAATGAACCTTCTTAATATCAACACGGCGTGTAATCAGCCACGGTGGCATTGAGCGGTTGGTTCAGCAACAGAATAGCACTGAAATGTTCTGCTTATTTCAGAAACATAATGACCCATAAACAGAATGTGGAGGCCACTCAGACAGGTTTTCCACTTGGAAGCGTTCCGGTTTCTGTTTGTAGTCTGAGAATTATCGACCAATCACACGAGAGCGTCTCTGGTTACCGGCAGGTAAACAGAGAGAACAGAAGAGGCAGCACGCGTCGGCCTTCATCTGACCACTTTTACTCTTGTTTATGAGCTAAAAGATAAACTGAAGGCTGTAAACCGTCTGATCGGCAGCATCTGTGCTGGGATTCAAGATGCTCCCTGGTATCATGTTCACAAACACACCTGGTACGCATATTTTAAATGTTAGTCCCTGATTTTGGAACAGGTGCATTTTAGAACAGCAGCCTTTTAGGTCATGAAATCAGAATTTTGAATTAAGTACATTTTAAAGATTGAAAACTGCTCTCATATCAAGGCCAACGTGTAAACTGTCTCCAGAACGTGTGTTTAAGGTTACGTTTTTATTCCCTATGCAGAAGGCTTCTCTGCTGAGCCTCTTTTAACATCTGACACCAGCGGGAGAACAAGGCGCTTTCTGATCCGAGGAGGCGCTGGTTGCGACCGGCGCCGAGGGAGACGCGGCGTTTTATGTTTGCCAGTGCTGGAGGATGAGAAGCGACAACCTGACCTGCTGCGTCAGGCCGACTGACGCTGCGAGCGTCTCGCTTTCTTCTCTCCAGAAGGCTGATGGCATCTATTTGGTGCATTTGAGCGTTTTCTTGTGATTTGCTGAAGCCGATGCTGCTGTTCAGTGTTTGATCCTCCGGGTTTCTCAGGTGTTCTGTGATCTTCATGTTTCCCTCAGTAAGAACCCAAAAGCCAGATCTGTTGTTTACTGTAAAACAGTCAAAGAAAATAGAAAAAAAACCTTCCTCTTTTCTATTTCTGACATGTGGTTTCACTTGTTGCATGACAACTACAATAAGGACAAGAATGTTACTCTGTGTTCTTCTACTTACAATACATCAAGCAGGAATCAGGTTAAAAGGTGTAAAGAATATTTTGCCATTCATCAATAAATTCAAATGATCCGTACGTTAAGTAACAGTTCATTATTTTGTATTTTGGACAATTGTGTTTTTCACTAAACAATGACAAAAATAAGTTCGTTCAGACTTGTTACATCAACTTAAATTCAGTCAGAATGCACCCAGAAAACCAAATGCAGTTAATAAGGTTGTAACAGTCACTCAACAAAACTACACAGTTTATGAATAAATTAATAATTACAAGAAAACTCTTCAGAGTGAATAAAGTCGAGCCAGCAGAAACGGGAGGAATAATATTTACTTGGCTGTCTGCTTGAGTCGCTGTGTGTGTTCACTTCCTTTTCATAATCCTCCGGTTCCTCTGCCTCCTTCCCTCTTTCTCTTTCCACCAGCTGACCCTCAAACTCTCCTTTCACTGGAGCACATTAAAAGCTGTTGATCTGGCAGCTTTTTCTGCTCCAGCATCACTTCAAAAAGCGCTGCAGCTGCACGAATAATGATGAGAGATTAATCTCCTTCATTACATCTTCACTCTGCACAGCTGTGTTTCTTTCTTTTGTTTACGCGGAGCTGAATTATTTTTTCTGCAGCTTTTAAGTCTGACATCAAGAACTCCACATTTTTATTATATGAATTATAGGAAAAACCAAAACAATATTGTGAGATGGTGCTTGTTAAGTACCCACGTATTGATTTGCAGAGGAACTTCCTTAGAATGATGTTGTAGAGATGTTCTTTTTCCTTTTTGGGAACCGTCTACCATGGAAAACAAAAGTTCAATTAGAAGAATGCCAATTAAACACTGGAAACCTACAGATTTTCCTTCAGTAGAGAAAAAAACGATGATCTCACATTTTAAAGATCAGTCCCTCTGTCAGTATTGTAAACCTATTTTCATTGTTATGTGGACCAAATGTGCAGTTTAACATGTCAGTCCGACCTGCAGCAGGTGGAGTTTTCTGGATCAAAGTTTTTTCCCTTGTTGCTTTTGAAGAGACTCGCTGTAGATGTTTTGCCTTAATGTTTTGATTTGTGGCTTCCTGTGTGGAGCCGGTTTCCTGCAGAGCTCAAATCGTCATCACCAGAAATACATCTGGACTTACGTGCAACATCTCACTCTGCCGCGCACACTCTGACTGCTTTTTCATATTCCCAAAGCAATGTTTTTGAGGTTCTGGTACGATACATCATAGTTATGACTCTGACTACGCTGGAATACTGTGTGGATTCATTCAATCACTTTGTTGCTTCCAGTTATGTTCGTTGAATTTCAGTTTGAGAGGATCTGCCATCGGTACTAATCATTTTCCTTCTGTCTTCTTCTTTCAGGAGCCTGTTTTCTAGGAAATCCAAAGAGCCCAAGGCATTGTCCCACAATGCAACAGGGTGGCGACTGTTTGGCAAGACCCCCGTTCCAGACGATCCAACGACGGACCCCGACTCCCCCTCGTCCACGCAGGAGGTCGGCTCTTTAAACACACCGCCACCAGGCTAATGCAGGCTAATGCAGTTAGCCTGCATCTGTTTACATACAACATAATGGCTTGCTAGAGACTGCTGAATGGATTTACTGTGTGTAGCTGGTCGCTAGGCAACGTCCGCACGCTGCCTGCAGCTGAGGATGCAGACCACTACCAACCCCCACACACGCACACATACACACGCACATGTGCAATTGAACCCTGTATTCCCCACCTGGTGCGTGTTTTAAGGTCTTGCCAGCCGTGATGCAATTATGCATTCAAACATATACACAGCTGTTCCTCTCCTGTTGTCTAAGGCAGGTGGTAGTCTGAACACGCGTGCACACACGTGCACACAACGGCAGCAGCACTGCTTCCCTACAGTTGAATTTAATCAGTTGGGGTTTGGTTTTCATATTGGACAAACACTAAAAAAAGTGTTCGACACAGCTGCTTCCAAATAATCCTTGAGCTGGAGGCCTCGTTGGCACTCTAAGCTTGATGAAGACGGCACATCCCTTCTATAGTGATTTGGGCTCCAGGGAGAGTCTCTGACCTTGGTGTGCAGTCTGAAGGCGGCGGAGAAAGACTGAAAGCTGACGGTGCTGATGGTGCTAACAGCAAACCCTCCGACAGCCGCTGGCCTGTGAGCTGCCTCCGCTCACATGATGAAGGAAGTGGCCAGAGGTGGTTTGGCTTCACTTGGTTGACACGTCAGACACACAACTATGGAGGAGGAGGAGGAGGAAGAGGAAGAGGAGGAAGCAAGCATACATGATTTAAAATGTTTCCTTTGAATTCAGTTTGAGCAGCAAAAGCAGGAATTACTTCTAAAATGATAACTGTCATGGCGTAGCAGTCCTCATTGTCCGCCTCTGGTGTTTATCACAAAATAGTTTATACAATTTGCATCCTTTTTGCATCTTGTTACTCCTTTATGTAATACACCCTAACTAAAAGTATCTGTCGACCTAGCGACAATGGTTTGTCTCTTTCCTGTTTCAAACATGGCAACACTACAAAGTCCCCATTCAACGCCTTCGGGGTGAACGGAAACACGACTGTGAGCCAGATCGATCCCCCGACGTTAGAGTTGGACCTCACTGGACCTGTTCTGGCTGAATGGGAGCAGAGCCCAGAGGCAGCTCCGCTATCTGGGCCCAAACCAGAAGGGAAGAGTTTTAGAATGAGGTGTTCAAATGATGCGGCTTGGGATTGTTAAAAAACTCTGTCAATGATACGCAGCAGCGTCACCTGATTTATCTAAATGTGACTCTCGCTTGCTTCATGGAGCTGATGACGAAGCAGCACCAGTTGAATTTTCCATAGTCAGTCAGAGTGAACTCTTACTCCCTCTGCTGGCAGCGCTGGGAAATGAGAGTACAGAAGCCTTGTTGTCCTGTTGACACGCAGCTGTCTCTCCCCCCCTTACCCCCACTCCCCCGTCCTGCGAGTGAAGGCCAACGTTAGGCCTCGGGTACACAAGTCCACGCAAACGCATACATACAAACCGCATACACGCCATACGCATCAGGCGTTCACTCGTAAACAACGTTCACACCATAAAACATGCTAATAAACTAAAAGGGAAATTATTTGTGGATTGTCTGTAAGATCATTATGAATTATTTTAACCAAATGTTTTTGCCCGTTAGTAGCTTTGCATCACTTGGTCCCCCCCCTGCAAATGGAGTTTGCCCTTTTGCCCCATTATAAAGAAACCTTTACAGTCGCTGGTGGAACGAACACCGAGGATGTGGAATAAAATCAAATGACTTTAACGTTTTATGTTGTGACCTCATACCCCAATATCCAGTGTACACTTCAACATCGTTGCTTTGACACAACATCTAAGCAATAAGAGTTTTGATAAAATAATCAGTGGATATAATATATATATATATATATATTGTAGAATACTCTATTGTGATGCGACTTTTACAGCCAAGAAAAGACATCTTTTGCTAAAACCTTCAATGATATCTGGTCTCCGATGGGGATACGCATGAAGTATCATGAATGTGTTGCCCATCACGAGGTAGAACTGCAGCTGCATGAGGAGTTCATCTGACAGCCGCTGTCTCTTCGTTGTGTCCACAGGAAGAGCTGGAGGAGGACGCAGGAGAGTCCGCGGGCGCTCCGCTTCCCTCGGCTGCAGCCAGGAGGAAGAACCTGGAGTTTGAGCCGCTCTCCACCACCGCTCTCATCCTGGAGGACCGTCCAGCGTGAGTAACCGTCCCGTTCAGCCGCAGACTGGTTGTCATTTGTTACGTTGTTGATTTGTTACAGTCTTACCAACTGCCACAGGAACCTGAGCTGATATTTAAGATGCAAATAGATAAAACCAAATATGATAATAATAGATAATAATAATCCCCCCCAGAAACTGCCAAATAAATTGATTTTGGAAATTATTGTTAGTTGTAGCCCCAACACACTTTAGTTATAAGTACTCCATTAAATTTTCTGCATGTCGAACGTATGAAACGCACGCTCTGATCCAATGAAACCAGATTCTTATCTCCGGAGTAAATCCTGACACGCGGTCATTTCTGCTGCAAAGTGAAAATATTTCAGATTTGAGTTGAAGAGTAACTCGCCCTTCTTTTGTTAAAACCTTGGAGCGCTTTTCACCAGTGAAGAGTGGCGTCAGCATGCTCTGATTACCTGGATCTTTCATACATACTTGAAGTCGAGTCATTATTTGAGTGTGAAGTGTCCGTCTGTCTGACTGCTTCTCTGCCCTTCAGGAACCTTCCTGCCAAATCTCTGGAGGAAACTCAGAGACACAAAATGGAGTACGACGAGATGGTCGCAGGAGCGAAGAGGAGAGGTAAACACAAACCTACGCAGAGAAAAATGTCAACAGCTGATTGCAACCGGCGCTTCGATCGTCTGTTAATGTTCTTACCCTCAGAGATGAAGGAAGCCCAGAGGAAGAAGCGTCAGATGAAGGAGAGGCACAGGCAGGAGGACAGCATCTCCAACGCCATGGTGATCTGGAACAACGAGATCCTGCCTCAATGGGACAGCGTGTACGTCTCCACAGCTGTGTGTACACAACATGTGTGCGCGTCTGTGTGATTTCCCCGGAACAGTGTTTTCATTTTTCTCGTTGTGTTTGTGTGCAGGAAGGGAACGAGGCGGGTGAGGGACCTCTGGTGGCAAGGACTTCCTCCCAGCGTCAGAGGACGAGTGTGGAGCCTCGCCATCGGCAACGAGCTCAACATCACGCCAGGTACCAACGGATACGCGCTCGCACAAATCCATCTCGCTCCCTGTCAGAAGATGTCATGTTCAGTGAGACTGAGATTTATATAGGACAGAGGAGACAAGGAGGCAGAAAATAAGAGGATTTTAAAATATAGAACCATACATTTCCTTTTAAACGTAAAAATATAAAATAGAAAAATGGATTCGATGCATCCGATTGTTTCCGAGCTGTGTGGCAGCTTCTGACCTGTTCTGTCACACGTTGAGGTGGAAACCTGATTCTGTGTTTCTCTCTGTGTGTAGAGCTGTATGAGATCTTCCTATCCAGAGCCAAAGAGAAGTGGAGGAGTTACAGCGAAACCAGTTCAGTCAACGACAGTGAGAATGGTACGAAACATCAAGTCTGGACTCTGAAAACTCTTCCTGAACCGGGCCTCTTTTGTGATGTTACTGCGGGTTTAGACTGCGAAGTAGACAAAGAAGTGTAATTACTTTGTTTAGCGTCTCCAGCTTTATCATCCTTAACCTTCCCAGAGGTGTTTGTAAGCTACAAAAAGCTTCTCAGACCAGAAAGTAAACGTAGAGATTAGCGTACATCTACAAATTCCAACTCCCTGTGCGAACCTTGAACTACCCTTTTATCAGTCGGAGTGATTACAGGAACTCTGCTGTGTGTGTGTGTGTGTGTGTGTGTGTGTGTGTGTGTGTGTGTGTGTGTGTGTGTGTGTGTGTGTGTGTGTGTGTGTGTGTGTGTGTGTGTGAGAGATAAGCAGGTGGACTGATATGCTTTGATACTTATTACATTTGACCCAAGCGACATTATAAAGTCATTACTAAATATGCGACTTCAGGGCGCTGAATGTCGTTCACTGCTGGGTGAGCTGCTCAGTGTTGTTTTCAACACTACCGGTGTTGAAAAGCAGTACAATTCCATTTGAACTGTGTTGTGTGGAGTGTGCAGCATAAGGTGAATATAAAAAACATCAGTTCTGAAATGAAGTCGACTTAAAATGAGCCTTAAAATGAAACGTAAACATCCATCTTGTGCGTTTTCCCGTTAGACGGAGGGGCGTCTCTGGCTGACAGAGAGTCCAGCCTGGACCTCATCAAACTAGACATTTCCAGAACCTTCCCCTATCTCTTCATCTTCCAGAAGGTATGCCATCTTTAACATGTGTGTGTGTGTGTGTTGTATTTCCTACACTGTGAAGTTAGTTTTGGAACTTCAGTGTGAACGTTTCGTCCGGTTGGCACCTTCTGGGGGTCAAAGGGCGATGAGGAAGCGTAGGAGGAGCCTACAACTCGCCGCTCTGACAACCATTCGAGGAAGTGACACCGTCCTTCAGTAAAGAGGGGTGTGGAGCTCGCAGAGAGCCGCCACGCACCTCCTAAAAAACCCGCAGAGGGACGTGGAACTTCCATTCCTCAAATTCCTTTGATTACAACCGGCCTCCACACCCGTCCTTTCTCTTCCTCCTCCATTCTGTCTTTAAATATCCACATTCTCTTGTGCCTCTGCAGGGCGGGCCCTACCATGACCTCCTCCACAGCGTGCTGGGGGCTTACACCTGTTACAGACCTGACATTGGCTACGTGAGTTTGATCATTTGTCCACCTCAAAACAACGATCGCTGGAGGCTTTTCAATGGTTTCTTTGGGTTTGTTTTATGGGACATATTGAATATTTCCGAGTGGCTGTAACAGAATTGTAAATTAAAGACGGAATGGTCCACACTTGTAGCCTCATGCTGATCTGGAGTCTGTGTTGTGATGTTTCAGGTCCAGGGAATGTCGTTCATCGCTGCTGTGCTGATCCTCAACCTGGAGGAGGCCGAGGCCTTCATCACCTTCGCCAACCTGCTCAATAAACCCTGTCAGATGGCCTTCTTCAGAGTGGACCACGAGCTGGTAGACACACTCACACAAAGTAACTGTTATCTGTGTTCTCCATTTTGTTCACGCGTGGCCCTTCATCACCTCTTTGCTGTCTCTCTCTCTCCGTCTGTGCTAGATGTTGAAGTATTTTGCCGCCTTTGAGGTTTTCTTTGAGGAGAATCTTCCTCGTCTCTTCAGCCACTTCCAAATCAACAACCTGACCCCCGACCTTTACCTGATCGACTGGTTAGTGCCTTTCAAATATTCTGTATTCAGATGTTTATCTTCTATATTGCGCTGCTAAATAAGTGGTGTGCAGTTGATCTACTTCAATCATTCATTTGAATTTGGTGGTAAATTGAGGATGTGCAGTATTATTTTGATCCAGTCAGTAACTTGTAAACACTGAAGCAGGCAGAAATTCACCTCGCCGCCTCTATAATTTAGTTTTCCGACAACACTTTTAGTTTTTTTTTTTGCTTCCAATTTACTGCTTACTGTAAAACTCTGATGTTCAAATAACAAACAAAATATCATTTTCAAATGAAAGCCCTTTGATTTTGTGAAGTGATCGCAAGGTTTGGTGCGTCTCCCTGCAGGATCTTCACCCTGTACAGTAAGTCCCTCCCCCTGGACGTGGCGTGTCGGGTGTGGGACGTCTTCTGTCGGGACGGGGAGGAGAGCCTGTTCCGGACGGGGCTCGGTATCCTGCGGCTGTTCGAGGAGGTCCTGCTGCAGATGGACTTCATCCACATCGCCCAGTTCCTAACGCGCCTGCCGGAGGACCTGCAGGCGCACACGCTCTTCACCGCCATGGCCAACACGCACATGATCAGCAGGAACCGCCGCTGGGCTCAGGTCAGCCGCACGCGCACGCCGCCGGGCTTTGAAGATACAGAGATTTATTTCTGATCGGCCCATGATTTTTAAATGAAAAGCAGATATTGATTTCCTCTGTTTTTTTTCTCTCAGGTGTTTTCTGCCTTGACAAAGGATGTAAACAAAGAGACGGACAAAAACTCCAGCCCAGCTTTTAGAAGCTAACACTAGCCGCCCTCGATGCTAACGCCACCTTTCTTCAAGCTGTGAAGGTTGAAGCTCATGCTGCCAACCCTGAACTTCAGAGGAGAACGCCAGCCGGGCCCTCCGAGGTTAGACGTGCAGCTTGAAGCTACGTAGCCCGAAGCTGAACTTTCCCTCCGGAGGCGTCGCTACGAAGCTTTAAGTGAACACGGTGCCGGTCGCGAAGGTGGAAGCCACGTTCGGGATTTTGTACCGGAGAAGAGCTGCCGGAGGGAAGAAATTAAATCTGTGTTGGAGCCGGAGAGGCGACACCAGAGCGGTTTGTTAAGTCCAAACCTCAACAGCCATTGTCAGTATTTCACCAGACAGATTGGGGAGAAGCGGCTGCCGTTCAGCAGCAGTGTACCTGATCTACCAGCCCCGAGAAGCTCACCAATGTAAACTGAATATCAGATGAACTCTGTATTATTCCTCCTGCCTAACGGAAGGAGATGTTCACTCGCTTGTGGAGATTCTGCCTCCACGTCGGGACACAAACACCACTAACACCGAGCATTGCGCCCGGCGTAATTCTCCCGAGAGGCTCTAATTCTCGTCGTCGGTGCTAACGATTCTCTAAAGGCTTCAGAAACGACCTCTGCGTTAACTATTATTGTTGCTCCTTGTAGGTTTTTGATTTGACACTATTATTAATTTGCATTTCCAGCTTGAACGTAGATCTGCAGTAGCATAGCTGACTCTGTTATACTGGGGTAACATATAAATCAGCCCCCAACTTCAAAATCATTCATCTGTAGGCGAAAACACAACGGAATGAGGGAAGAAAACACAGAACACAAAAAGCAATGGAGGAAATGGAATGATTTTTTTTTCTTTCTGATAACGAGTAAGAAATAATACACATCTCATCAGCTCCAAGCAGACTAGATATTTTGATGTTTTTGCAGGAAATCAACTATTCCATGACCCCATGTGTTGAATAGTACTAAAGTATATTGGGGGAAATTTAGTGGGAAAACTGCATGAAGATGAATTCATGAAATGTCGATTTATATGAAGTTTAGCTAAAAGTGTTTGGGTCTAAATGATCCGTACGGACCGTCGCTGCAGCATTAAGGGGACCATCACATTTTAAAATCAGTGTTTCAAGGATCTGGATTCATCAAAGCACTTTATACCTGCAGCACGGATCTACATGATGGAAACCAAACGGGGCGCCAAGTGCCTGCAGGTTTTCTCTGTCCCGTCGATGGACACCAGGCGACCGGCGTTCAATAGAAACCTGCAGGCAGATTCCAGAGCACCACCGCCGGCTCGGCTTTTAGCTTTTACTAGTTTCCGCTTGGCAGTTGAGCTTTTTAGTCTTTGCAGCCAAACTTTTCTCGCTTGTTTCATCGTCTGTGAAAATGCATAGATCAATTTCCGCTGCAGATTTAAAGTTACGCTTGTTGAACTCTTAAAAAAGAAACATGCACATGTTACAACTTTTTCTTATGAGGAAATTGCGCGGGAGATACTTCCGACTTTTTGCATCAACATATAACACTCTGCTTCAGTGTGAAGCAACGTCGATCAAACTCCTCTGTTCCAGATGGCGCGATTCCTTTTATTGAATCTGGATTAGAATCTAGAGGCCGTACGTCGCTCAAGTGCTTTACATCACCTCCACGTCCGCCCTGTCACTCTGTTATTAGCACTCCTTTGATTTACACACACTGAGTGTAGCCTTCACCTCCATTTCACCCCTACCTCTCCATGACACGCACACACTCCACTTACCTACCAGCAAATGAGCAGCAGGCCTTAAGAATGTGGACCAAACCGCCACTTTTGTATTTTTGTCACGGTGGGAAATTCCTACTGGGGGGGAAACTCCCCATCCAGCCTGTCGTTTGTGTTGATGTTTGTATGAATTGCTAAACTCTGTTCGAGTCATGTCGTCTTGAAGTGAGTTATATACTTTTGATCCCTTCAGGGTAAAAGCACCGTTGGCTTTACGCTCCAAAATAAAACTACAGAAACTTATTCAAATTCTCACTGACTTCACACTGAGACTCGTAACCTCTATGAGCGATTTAGGAAGTCAACTCAAAAAGTCTTTGTGTTTCAAGTTCTAATATGAACGAATTGCTGAGCAAGTACTTGAACATCAGATGGAGACGGAGTCCGTGCCACATGTTGGAAGCTGCAGGATGTTATGCAGTTAAACATGCATGTAAAAAAGGATTAACACATGCGTGTACGAAACTTTTAAGATGGCATCGTGTGCGTTAATTGGTTACAAACAACACTTTCTGAGTTAATTCACCTCTAAGAAAACTCTTAAAACACCTCCCGGGAATCCGAAGAAGCAATAGAAGAAAATAAGCACTTTGGGAACATGAGCTGTTTGTTTATTTTTTATTTTACACTAATTACAATTAAATGAGTGCAATTAATCTCTAATGAAGTTGTGGTAAAATGTTGGTTTAAAGGTAATAAATTCCCATTAACAGGTTTCCATCTGGTCTCATGACAAACTAAAATGTGACCACTGGGTGTGAAAACAAACCTTATTTCCTACATGTTTGTGATCTTTGAGCGTTTTCATTTCCATTAGCTTTGTTTGTTACAGTCAGATGCACTTTTTCCATTTTTCAGTTGTCTCTCGATCCTGAGAAGTTTTCTCTTTAACATCTAACTTGAAAATGGTCAACAAGAGTTCTTAAACAACAACTAGAAGAATTTATTTACACTTTTCAATGTGAACCAAACCTTTTTTTCATTCATAATAAACGTTGTTGACTTGAGTTCACACCGACGTGTCGATGATGAAGAGCTTTCTGTCTTGTACTAGTTTGTACTCATCTTCACTCATCTTCACTGCTTTAGACTCCTCAAGGAGCAAAGTGCAATATGATCCTGTTTCTAGGCAGGAGATCCATTGATTGATTGATTGATACCCAGAATCCTCAGCGGCTGATTCAGCGTTCCCTCGTCCCTCCTCGCTCCGGAATATTCACCAAACATTCACACAGCTGCAAATATGAGATGAGATTAATGACATTTGTCCCCCACAAATCTTCCCTCCTCCTTTCTTTAGGTTTCATCTTGCTCTCAGTTTTATTTTTATTCTTTCACGTAGATTCATTCAGCATTTAACTCAATGTGTTTTGTTTTTTTGTCGAGTTCCAGAGTAACGATTTTTCATGATGCCTTACAGGTGATGTAAATAAACTGTAAAAAGTGTTCTTTCTTTTCATATAACGGCTACTAGTTGAATGTGTAAATAAATATCTCTGCAAACTTACTCCTCTCCGTCCTTTAAGGGTTAACCGACCATTTAAAATAAAATGCCTTTAGGATTATTTATTTATAGCATACTACACACTTGTTTGCAGTTGTCTTTTAAATAGTTAATGACATACTGTTCTATCATATAAGTGAAACATGACATTCAACATTCTGCAACAGCTTTTTTTCTTCTTTGAAATCGATTGCTCTTCACATTATATTCTGTGACTTTCTTTTAACGCACTATACAATGATATGATTTCATAAACTCCTACATATTCTTATAATCTTAAATTTTCTCATATTTTTACGTTTTGTTGCCAAATTTAAAATACAGAGTTCGATGGTACTTTTTTGTCTTCTATGTCATTTATTGTGACTAATGTTGGACGTTGTTCTGTGTCCACTTCACACCACTAGATGGAGCCTGATGACCAGCTGGAACTTCACAGCTTCATTCCTCGCTGTTAACGGACACATTAGGTTACTATGAATAATTCAGCATATTCATCACTATTACTTGGTGAACAATTAGCAAGGAAATGTATCGTGAGACTCGTGGCGTTGAGAGGTGTAGTTGACTAAAGAATAAAGATTGACTGCAGCAGTTGACTTTTGGATATTAACCCGTCCTGTACAATTATTCTTTGTAGAAGCAGTTTATTTTGTTTCATATATTCATTAAAGCGGGACAGTAACTCACCATCTCATCTTGTGTCTTTCAACCATTGGTTTATTTCTTGTTTACTTAGACCCCCATTAGCGGCGCAACAGTGGCTCTTAATCTTAATCTTAGATGAGGTCTGACGGGGGTTTTGTGCCGCGGCTTAAATCCCACAACAGATCAAATCAATACCCCAAAGTGTCTGATTTGAACCCGAGTGTGAACATCTGTGGTTTGGACCTCTCGGTGCAGATAAACGGCGAGCGCACTCGGGGATCGCAGGTATTTCCGAGGCCCTGCGGTGAAAGTGAGGCGAAGCCGCGAGGGGCCTCTCGCCGCCGCCGAGCCACAGGAAGAATCTGTGGAGGTATTTGGCGGCAGTCTGGGGGCTTTCCTGTGGAGGTGGGGCTGCTGTAGGGGAAGAAGGAGCCCGCTGCCCTGGGGGCCTCCGGGATACCACAGCGGGAGGCCTGGAGGCCGAGGTCAGGGCAGAGGAGGCTCTGTGTGGAGGGGAGTCGAGTGGTGCGGGGGGATGCAACAAAGTGGAAATCTGTAAAGAAACACTTAAATAAATCAAGTGTCAAATCAATCAGCAGCAGCGTCGACGCACACATTTGTCCCACGATGTAACACACAATAACACACAGTGGAAACAGAAGGAGAAGACGTAACAACTTTGAGTTTACCTTTAAAACCTTTTGAATGTCAGTGGTTCGTTTACTTGAAACCATCAGAAAGCTGCACACATGTGGTTCTTCTTTCTCCGTTTGGTTCCAACGTCACGTCCACGCATCATAGTTCTCAGGGGCTCCGTTAATATACTTTATCGATCCAATTGTCCAAAAATTGTACAAAAAGTACAGTAAATTGGAAGATGTTGGAACTTTTGTGGTTCTCATTTCTAAACATTGCACAACATATACATTTATTTTACACAAAATCTGCACAGGGGTGATATCATAATGCAAAAGGCCTAGAAGTAGTAGGTCTTTTTAAAAGCTGCAAACAAAAGTCAAAAGTCAAAAGTCAAAAGTCAAAATGACATCAGAGCTGGGCGACGGTCCCAATTCAACACGACTCCGTGGGGTTCAGTCCTAAAACGTCACACACACCACATGGAAGACACCCTCTAAAGAACCATGTCACGTGTGCAGTGATTATCAAGACAAAAGTAAAATGTAAACAATTTTCCTTAATTAAACCAACAATTTAGAATTGTTTGTGTGATTTTAACAATTATCGTATGAAACAAACCAAATCTGTATTAATTGATGATGAAGATATAAAATACATACATACATACATAGATATATATGTGTGCGGTGGGTAGAAGGAGGAAGAGGGAGGACGGAGGCTGCAGACTGCAGGTCAACAGGGCTTCCTGTCACCTGGGATGTCGGCTCGCGCTGGATGACTGGATCACTCACTCACTCCTCCTCCTCCTCCTCCTCCTGCACTCCTTCATCCCCCCGCTCCCTCCTCCTCCACCCATCACTCCGTCACCACAGGCTTTTTTGCTTTCTGTCCGCATTAACCCCTGCAGAGGGCTGTCCAGCGATCACGCCACCGTTACCGTGACTACCACACCGCTTAACGGACAGGTAGGAACCGCGATGTCACCTGTCGGTTCACGCGGAACGACCTTGAATGCCTCCCTGAAGGTCTTCATGTCAGGCACAGCTGACAGGTGACTTTAAATATGTCAAGTTCACACCACTTCCTTCTCACAGCAACTTGTTATTGAACAGCTGGAGTTACGACAGAAATGACAATTTTATAAATGCAACACATGATCAGTTAATAAATATGGCACCGAGCGATAGAATTAACTATGAAACATTATGAAGATTAGTTCAAGCCAGCTGTAACGTTACGTAACACAAATTAAATTAAAGTTCAAGATGAGTTCTTCTTCCACAGTTCCATTAATATAATAAATGAAGGAAGAAATATTTCAGCTCCACTGAAACAGGTTATTCAAAGATTGCGGATACTTTATTATGTTAACTCAACAACAGTATTTGACAAGTTGGGAGTGAGAACAGGCGTCTATTTGCCAGCTTCGGTTGATGGAAGATTGCAACTACAAGCTCAATTTACACAGCGGGGGCCAGAAACCACTCTGCATGGGGGGGGGGCAGTGATGGCCAAAATGGTTGCAGCACTTAGTGGCGGCTTGATTGTTGCAAAATCATTGCAGCAAACTTTTTATTTTACATTAATATTCAAGGTGCTGATCTGATGTTTTTGTGATATTTTTAAAACCCATCGTGCTGAAAGATACGCTCCCTTCATTTGTGGATCCCTGTTTTATGTAAAACTATGAGGGATACTTTTTTTTTCATGATGCTACGTGTTTTTATTGGTCAAATGTTGTTGTTTAGCATGCTAAGCTAAGATGGCCAACGCTCGGTAAACACGGGTCAGATCTGTCTCACCTGTCAGAGAACCTTTTCAATAAGAATCACCTCCCCCTCCTCACCTCTTTGTAGCTTCACTTTTATATTTTCCTTATCATTACTTCCCCTGATAACCTCCTGTGACCTCCGGGCGGATCTTTTGACTTCTCAAAAAAAGACGAGGCTGACACTACGTGCGATAACCTCACGAGGCACAACGACTGCGGACGGGTGGTCCCACCTGCGCAAAGCCCTCAGACCCTACAAACGGCGGCACAAACCGCTTCCCCATTAGGTCAGTGGTCGCCCCGGGAGGCCGGTTCTCTTTAGCTCCCCTTTCACTCCTCACGCAGCAAATGCCGCTGGGTCGGACGGAGGGAAAGCCGCTAGGCGCCGAGTTGCAATTAGACGCTCCATTATATAAAGGCATATTCAGATAACAGGGGCACCAATGAGGTCAGTACATGCCCTTTGTTGCGGGATTAATGAGGATTTTAATAAAACAAAAAAATGCCCCCTTCCTTATTGTAATGACCTAATGAGTTTGTTGGTGGCGCCGGGCCATGTTGGTGGGAAAGTCCCGCGGTCGTAGCCGTCTCTCGCAACCCCCCGCCCCGCCCCCCCCCATTCCACTTCATCCCTGCTTCCTTTCCCTGCACCTGCATCGACCCAGTGCTTCCCCCGTGCTTTCCAACCCCCCACCTCCAGTGTGTGCATTCAGACCTCGGGGACAAAAGAGTGTTTAATTACCATAAAATGCTATTAGCAATTAGAGCCGCCGCCAATGTGAATGGCAACATAGAGCTCATTGAGGTTATAAACAAGTGGACCACTGGTCAATTGGATCAATGATTTGGATTGTTTGACATACCCGGAGCCAAGGCCGCAGGAGCAAGCAAAGTTCAAAAATCCCCCTCAGTTGAATCGAGAAGTTTGTCACAGAATCTGTTGGAAGGGGCTGTCAGGAGCGATTAGGGGGCATGAAAGGGCACAGCGATCAAACGGGGCCTGTCCCAACGCTGCACATTTAATTAGAATTTGCATGCCTTTGTTCCTGACCCTTCAGCAGGCATGATCTGATTACAAGGGTGAACAGTTGCCGCCAGGGGAAAAAGGGGAACTCGCAACATGCAAACGGTGCTTATTTGCCTGACAGAGCCGATCGGGACTTTTTAAAACTTAAACAAACTGTCGGCCTCCGCGCAGAACTTCGGGAGCGACGAAACCTGCCGGTCGGGGGGCCGCTTCCTGCACTGTTTACCTCTCGTCCCGCTTCAGTTCTGTCTCCCACTGGATTGTGGGAGCTTGGGGGAGAGGAGAGAGGCACTGTGGCGCTCGCCGGCTCATTAATTGGGAGGCACAGCGCCCTTTGACCCCAATGATGCGGGGTGACAGGGAAAATGAGGAGAGGCGATTGGCCAGCAGCTTCAGCGGTTGAATGTGCCACCAGTGGTGTTCCAGGGTGGAAAAGGGCAGCACGGAACAAAACATTGCTCTCTTCCTTTTTCTTTTGTTCTTCCTCTCGGCTTTTTCCCTCATAACTTTCCTCTCCTTGATTCCTTTTCTTTCCTGCCATCTTTTAAAAATGTTTTTTTTAATTGATTTAAATGTGGTAAATTATGTTTTTTAAAGTATTTTGGGGGCATTCTTCTTTATTTTTGGTAAGGCAGACGCCGATATACATATATGTGTTCAACCTGGATAAAGGATTGATTCTTTGTTGATGTGACATAAATAACTGTAAATTTAAGTTTTAAATATGTAAAACGTAGAGAACATTGTTGCATCGAATTTTTAGCAATATGGATAAAACTCACTTGAGTTATGATACTGATCATTAAGAATTTAATCAATACTGATTATAACAGATCACATATTTTATTAAGCAATGGTAACAAATCTGCATTGTGATCAGATCAAAAGGGCCACGAACAGAAATCCATAAATAACCGT